ACTTGGGCATTTTGAAAAGTACCCAATTGGTAGTAATGACTAATGAGTATATATTATGGAAAAAATTCATTTATAAGACTTTTACTATATGCTATTTCAAAAATAAGAAAACAACTTTCAAATTTCTAAAATCAAATATTTAACATATATATATATAATCCACTCCACCTCCTCCATCCCTATCGCTCCGACGACTATTTCGGTGACTGTTCCCCCGTCGATTTGTTTCGGCGAATGCTCCGATTCTGGCACTTGTTCCAACTCCGGCGAATATTTCGATGACAACTCAGCCATATTTTTTTTTACAGTTGACATGATTTTTGACTTCTTGATTGTTGCTTGTCACTAGTAATATGAAATATGACCTGTAAATTTGAACCGTGACTCTATAAAACAACATGTGACCTGTTAATATTGATTTGTGACCCGTTTATATTGATTTGTGACCTATAAAAAATGATTGACTTATGAACTCAGACCTGTGATCAGTGAACTGTGACCTTAACAATTCATTAATTGCAAATCAGTCACGAAGCAAAACTTTATAGGTAACAGATTATTCATCGATCACGAATCAAAAATTTTATTAGTCACAACTCATTTTAAGGTCAATTCAAAAACCTTATATGTCACAATTTATTCATCGGTCACAAATAAAATATTTATATCACAATTTTTTGTCGGTCATAAATTACAAATATTATAAGTCACGACTTATCAACAATCACAAATTAACAATTTTTTCTGTCACACATTCTTTTTTGGTCAATAATTTCATATATCACAGATTATTTCTCGACCACGAATCAAAAAATTTATAGGTCACAGATTTTTATCAATCACAAAATCAAAACTTTTATTGGTCACAACTCGATTATAACGTAATAAATTGTCAAAATTTTTAGATCACACATTATTAATTTGTAAAAAATTAACCAATTATGGGTCACACAACCAAATAATTGATTACAGACACCCACGTCCATCTTATCCCACCCACGACCACCGTCACGACACCGTTGTCAACCACCACCACTGCACAGCGACGCACACCTCCACCTCCACCTCCACCGCACCACTCTCCCCCACCTCCAAAACATCACAAAACACACACAGATAAGCACACACTTACAGATCACCCACCTCCACCACCCGCAACCACACAAACAACCATCAC